GTCCGAAATTAACACACCATTACTCCTAGGGACAACAGATAAAATCATAATAGACTGTTACGATTTCAAAGTCGAAGCCATTACTAACACCTCTATTCAATCAGGATTTGGGATCATTTTTCTTGTCTTTATTCAGTAACTTTAACTTCAAAATATAACTTCTGATAATGGCATTACGGTTGTTAAGTACCGTCGCAATTTTCGTCTTGTGATTAACTGCTGATTCTCGATGAATTTGGATACTCCAACTTCGGCTTTGCAGTGTTTTCTAAACCAGTGGAGTACGATGATTAGCTCCATTTTCAGGATATCTTGTTATGTAGTGTCTTGTTTTTTGGGTTTTTGCAAAGTAAAAGTTTTAAACTTTTAGGTACTTTAAATTGGTACTCTGTGCATAAATCTATTGAATACAGATAATTCTGCATTTCAAAGGAAAAGAATTTTCGCACCTGCCCGATTTGCGCCATAGTCCTTCACAACATGTTGAGTCTCAACACCAGTAGACCAGACAACCAATCCAATGGATACAGAACAAACCTCTCCTGTTGACTTGATCTTCGTAGTGATTTCCTTATCGGAAAGGCTAATAACACGACATCCGGTTTGAACATCAATACCATCTCTGCTAAATTTCTGCTCAGCAAAGCAACTTATCCGTTCATCAAACCTGCAGTGAATGTAAAATCTGCTAAGTTCTTTGCGATTTTGTCTATAGACTGCAGTCCAATTTATAAGTCACACTACATGTACCTCATGAAGAAGAAAATGGAACTAGTACCCTAACATGTTTAGAATTCAGACATAGAATATGCCAGAAAATGAAAGAAAGAAGGATAAACAGAATAAGTGGCATAAGGAAAGACTATAATTCAATCTTCAGCCACAAAAATTTAAAAGCCGTATCGAGGAAATAAAATGGAAAATCGCATCCCCTTACATGTTCAGAATATGGTCCCCTGATTGAATCACTGTTATTTTCACTAGATCTTTAACTGAAGGATATAAGTTGACCAAATCCTCATTAACAAAGTCATGCAGCTCTGCTGCAAACTCCACACCAGTAGGTCCCCCTCCGACAATTACAAAATGAAGGTTTATCCTTCGTTCTTCTTCGGTTAAGCCGGGAAGAACAGCCTTCTCAAAACAGTTGATAACACTCCTGCGTATCTTTTGTGCATCCTCAACTTCCTGCATTCAAGTGGGGAACTGGATAGACTTTATTTACAAAAGGAAGAGTTTTAAAATGCTATCGATTGTCCATTTTACTATAATATATATGGTATGATAAAAAATGACCCTACCTTCAGGAAGTGGCAGTTCTCAAGGACACCCGGGGTGTTAAATGTGTTTGCTTGTGCTCCCACAGCTATAACTAAATAATCATAATCCAAAGAGAATTCGTCATTTCCCACCAAGTTATTTTCACCGGTATGACGGCACAAAAGTTTCTTGTTTGCAGCATCAATTTTCATACATTCAGCTTCCCAAAACCGTATTTCTCCATTTCTGTCATTCAACAAAATAAATTGCATTTGAACAACATTTCTATTCTCTTACAAATGATCAGATTAATTAAGCAAACGAGACGTTGAAAACCCTCGCTGCAATATCCATGAAACTGTACCTATGTATGCATCGGCATGCATATATGTCCAAGTATATCATTTAGCACCTACAATACAAATATAGAGAAGAGGAAAAACGATATTGTGCTGCTCTAGTTTCTTTCATCTACCTTCTTTATCATGTTTCGGACAGGCTCTACAATGCTCCGTGCTTCAACAGTTCCACAGTTGACACTAGGCAACAACGGGGTGAACACGAAATATTTCCGAGGTGAAACAACCTGAACATCATAAGCTGAAACATCAAGATCCTTAAGGAAACGAATGCCAGCCCACCCCGTTCCGAGGACCACCACTCTCTTTTTCTTGCTGTCTTTTTCATTCACTTGAACACTGGTTTTGCTAACATCTTCTAGCGATTCCGAGTAAGCCACAACACCTCCACCACTGCACAAATTCAATAACAACAGGTAATCAGTCTACCTGGTAAAACAATGTGCTTTCTCTAAAATTTACATTGTAGAACATGCTGAAAAGCAAAGTAAAATTTCAACGTCTAAAGATTTCATTTTTCCGACTATTCTTGAGGCCGCAATGCTTATAATCCCAGATCTAATATCAACCAGAAATTCATTTCCTCGAAAATTCTTTGACATTATACCATGGAATTAGATGACAATCTAAGCAAAGCTTAAGAAGCTAAAATTTTAGTAAATTAAAAACGTAAGCTTGATAGTACTATTAGATTAGATTTACCCTGTTGATCCACCAGATGATCTGCTTATCTAAACACTAAGCACCAAGAGCTGGGAAAATCAAAGTTCAAGTTTTGATTTGAATGTCGACAATCTAAAAATATGTATATGAATGTGTGAATAATTTCACTTTTCACTATTTCCATTACAGTACACGGAAATCAAACAGAAGCCAAAAGAACTACAAAATGAGAGAGAGAGAGAGAGAGAGAGAGAGAGAGAGAAAACAAGGCAAAAACGGTTTTTAAAAAGTGGGTTTTTTTTCCTGGGAAAAAAAACAAACGAGAAGGAACCTGAGACTGAGAGTACAGAGAAGCAAAAGCTTAGAGGAAGCAGGGTAGCCATTGAAAGCCCTTGAAGCTCTGGTGAAGAAAGAGAGAACTGTCATTTTGAAAGAGAAGATGAATAAATCTGAGAAATCTGAGTGATTTTTCAAAGAATCAGAAGAGGAACTTCAAAATCATTCTTTTGTTTTCCTTAACAACGACAACTTTGGAGTGATGAGTTTCATGAGCTTTCAGATTTCCATAACCTCTTCCAACAACATAAAGTTGTCTTTACAGGTGGTAATAATTACACCTGGCAGATATTAATTTGATTTATTATATAGTTTGGAGTTATTTAATATTTTTGTAATTTTTTATAGTGAGGCTAATATTTGTGTTCATATTTTAACAAGATCTTTATATTTCTATCATTTTATTATTTCTAATTTCTTTGGTATTTTATCAAATTTATTCATTTCTTTAATTAATGTGAAAAAGGGGTACAAACTGCGTTTTAAAAACATATAAAATAAAGACACATTTTTAATTATTGATATTTCATTTTTATCGATTATTTCAAATCGAACATTATAAATGTGTAACATTTCAAAATCAATCCAAAATATTAGGCGAGTTCGAGAGTAACATATTGAATCACTAAACTATCCACAATTTCTCTTTTACAAAATCATTTCTCAAAATCAAACAATCTAAATTATCATAAAATTTATTAATTAGTAGTATACATAAATTAAAACAATTTGCAAAAGTGGAGTTCCTCCCAGACTAGTTTGGAATCTATTCCTATTCAATGGCAACCCCCTAAGCAAGATGGTTTCTGCCTTAATGTCGATGCTTCGATATTACATGTATCTAATATTGCCTCGATTGGAGGCATTATTCGTGATCTTGATGGTCACTGGATCATTGGTTTCAATAAGACTTGTTGGATCATTGGTTTCAATAAGACTTGTTGGATCATTGGGTTCAATATCTTTTAGATAAGGATAAATTTGATCCACCTTATTATAAGCCTATCTAGGCTCATTCCTCTTTATGACTATATATATATATATATATATATATATCTATGATATTCATATATGACAACGGTTGGAACTACTTCGAAGATGTCGATACCCTAATTCGAATGCCATCAAAGTTTATTTATCTGATAAAAGTAAATTTAAGCATTGAACTTTATAAGTTCAGTAATACACAATTATTCTACTGATGCATCAAGTATATAATGCATGTAAGTCGAGCATAAATATAACATAAGCATTTCAGGTGTTTAACATCATTTGAAAGTAGATATGCAAATATGTTACGACCAAGTAAGGTAATCATGCATACACATTCTTGTACATATATGCATACATGCATATAGTTAAACTCGATTGATAAACACTAGCGTATGTTCGTTATTGCTCGAGCGGATACAACAAACACATGTTTTAAGTAATCAACAATACATCACATTTATTATCTTTTTCCTTCTCTCTAACTTTGGAGGTCTACACATTTTCATTGTAAGCTTAAATCAAAAAAGAAAAAAAAATCAAAATGACATCTTTCATGTTGAAATTAAAAAAAAAAATAACCTTTAAAATACATAAATGAGTGAAAAGGGGATTGAAAAACTTTTTTTTCTTAACCTTTTCTTAAATTTGGGTTGAGCTTAGGCACTATTTTTTAAAGCTCAAGAGCTGTTGATGGGTGGTGTAACTTAAAAATTTATCATCTTGAAATAAGAACAATAGAGAAAAAAATAAAGTTCTTTGGGAAGAAGAAGATGAAGAAATGGAAAAAAAAATGAGAGAAGAACTATAAAATGTAAATTCAAAAATCTTTTAACATGTTTTGGACCACCAATCTAACCCAATTCTTGGCCTAACAAACCTATAACACTTGATAAATGAGGCATCTAAGATTCGGCTCAACATCCGAAAATTGAATATGAAATTTGAGTTGTTACAAAAGACTCATCCTATGGTGATTCTCTCAACTTAATTTATTATATTCATAACGTTAATATTTAATGTTACTAGAATTTAATATCATATCTCATTAAATCAATTGGTTGTTAGTACGCATGCATATCTTCCGACTTAATTCTTTTAAAATAATTTTTCTAATATTTTCTCGGTTCTTTTTCATGTAAAGTATTTAGTGGATTAATTTGTTGAATTTGATAAATTGTGTAATTATTTTATAAATTGTTTAGAGTTGGAAGACTAATGAAAATTTTCCTATAATCGGAGGAGTAATTGTGTATTTTATCCTAATATCAGGCACTGTGTGAAGACTGGGCCAGAAGAAGCGAATCATCAAAACGAAAGACCCACCAAAATCTGATCCGACATTGCCAAAAACAGACCCAGTGGTTCTTACGACGACGGACTTTAACAAAGATAATCACTTTATTACACGACACAAACACAAAATCTTTAACAACCACCACCACACGGGAGCTGTAGAGCCGTGAAAAGATGAGGCGGCGAGGACTAGATTTTAGGAGACGAATGAAGAGGAAGTTCCCCAATGTTGTGTGGTGGACAGTGTGCGGGGTTTTGGTTTTGCTTCTGATCGTTGTTTTGTGCAGAGAGAGCCAGATTGAATCAACACCCGCCATTTCTAGGGTAAATATCTTCTCTTTCTTCTTCTTCTTTGTTTTTCGTTTTTTGTTTTCTCTAATTAATGTCTACGATGGAAAGTTCTTATTGTTTGTTTTAGGTGAATTTAGGGAATAAATTTGCTTTCTGTCATTAGATTTGGTTAGTTGTCTGCAATTCTGTGTATCATGTGAATTGAATTCCAGATGGCAGTTTGTCTTTGCATTTGCCTGATCTACTAACTGTTAGATTCATAATTCTTAACTGTTTTGTTGGGACATTTCTGTCTGGAAGAGTTGATAAGAATTTGTTCTTTGTTGACACAGTAGTTTGGATTTTGCTTAGCTGAAATGTTGCTTTCTTTAATAGCTAAAATGGTTTCGATCATGCCAAAGTGGATCGTTTTGATTTAATCTGATTTCTTCGTCATGGAATAACTCACTAGAATTACATGTCTTAGTTAAAAGTAGTAGTTTGGCACAGCCATTTCGTACGCTGAACTTATTTCAAGACAAACTTTGGGAAATGCAGACCTTAACTGCAGAAAGTTCACTGCAACTTTGCGTACCTTCTTAAGGACCGAATAACTGAGCCTGTAAGGAAATTGAATGATAACTTTGCCTACCATTTGCTTTGTGCATATAGGCCACCATGAGACTGAGTGTATACTACTCTCAATAAGCATGGTATTTTGTGGAAGTAAACTCCGGAATTGATGTAAAGCAACAGTTTTAAGACAGTTATGATCATGTAAAAAATTGTAAACATTAGGGCTTAACGTGCACTGGCAAACTTTCTGGGGGCAGGCCATTCTAGATGAGGTAGTCCAATGCTGGGTATGCTGAGTTGCATAATGATACTAAAATTTTTGTTTGTTACCTTTTGCTCTTGTCAAGTCCTTCTATGTTCTGCACCTATAAGGAACATATTTTCTTTATTTGCTATCATTAACTCAATTTCAGCTGATAAATCCTGCTGTGAATAATAGAATAACTCCTGCCCCGAAAAGAATCTGGTAGAAAGTTGTACTGGCATGTAGCAAGGATGAGGTAAAATCTTATTAATTATTAATTTGAACTCCTAGTTTCTGAGGTGCTCTTGCACTTCCGTCCACTGTTATAAACTGAAGTTTCAAGGGACCTCCGATTCACCTCGCATTTGTTAATTTTTTTGACTGTGTAGTAGAAAACACCAACATCATTTGTTTGTTCTCTCTCCCTATCCTCTCCTTTCTTTTCTTTTCCCCAGTAGCATAAGCTTTTCTAGTTTAACGGCACCTGTTCTTTTTCTTTTCTGCACAGCTCGTGTTAAGATAGTGATTTTTAGGCCATGGAATTGTTGTGGTACTTCGTCGATAAGGCTGGTAGGATGCTTCTGTTATCTAGTGGCATTGATTCTATTCATAGTTATATGGGTGAAAACAAGTAGAAGTTCTCTTTTGTTTCCCACGTTGCAACCATCAAATTTTATCTATGTGAAGTTCTGAAATTAATGTGTTCGTGTTCCGTATATGCAGAAACCTAATTGGCATGACAGAATTACGGAAGACCTAATTACCGATGAAATGTTGAGCCCCAACTCTGTCACTAGACAGATTACTGATCAAATTTGTCTTGCAAAGGCTTTTGTTGTGATAGCAAAAGAAAGCAGCAATCTCCAATTTGCTTGGGAATTAAGTGCTCAGATCCGTAATTCTCAGGTCCTTCTGTCAAATACTGCAACTAGGCGAATGCCATTGACAGTTGGAGAATCGGAGAGTGCAATTCGTGATATGGCATTTCTGCTCTACCAAGCGCAGCAGCTCCACTATGACAGTTCAACAATGCTCATGAGATTGAGAGCCAAAATCCAAACCCTTGAAGAACAGATGAGTTCAGCTGGTGAGAAAAGTTCGAAGTATGGACAAATAGCTGCCGAAGAAGTCCCCAAAAGTCTATATTGTCTCGGTGTTAGGTTGACTACTGAATGGTATGGAAATCCAAATTTACAAAAGAAACTCAGGGAAAGAAAGCAAATGGATGCAAAACTTAAAGACAACAGTTTGTATCATTTTTGCATCTTCTCCGATAACATCCTTGCAAGTTCCGTGGTGGTTAATTCGACAGCTTTAAATTCCAAAAATCCAGGTAAGATCGTCTTTCATCTTGTAACTGATGAAATAAACTATGCTGCAATGAAGGCCTGGTTCACCTTGAACAGTTTTCGGGGAGTGACTGTTGAGGTTCAGAAGTTTGAGGACTTCAAGTGGCTGAATGCTTCTTATGCTCCGGTTCTTAAGCAACTGCAAGATTCTGGGACTCAGAGTTATTATTTTTCTGGCCATAACGATGATGGTCAGACTCCAATAAAGTTCAGAAATCCCAAATACCTGTCGATGCTTAATCATTTGAGGTTTTATATCCCAGAAGTTTATCCTGCACTCAAGAAGGTGGTATTTCTCGATGATGACATTGTGGTTCAGAAAGATCTTTCTGGTCTATTTTCCATTGATTTGAAGGGTAATGTTAACGGAGCAGTTGAGACATGCATGGAGACATTTCACAGATATCACAGGTACCTGAATTACTCTCACCCTTTGATAAGGGCACACTTCGACCCTGACGCCTGTGGTTGGGCATTTGGGATGAATGTTTTCGATTTAGTCGAGTGGAGGAAGAGGAATGTGACCGGCATCTATCACTATTGGCAAGAACGGAACGTAGACAGAACATTGTGGAAACTCGGGACACTGCCACCCGGACTGCTGACATTCTATGGATTGACAGAGGCATTGGATCCCTCATGGCATGTATTGGGGCTAGGCTACACGAACGTTGATCCCCAATTGATAGAGAAAGGGGCCGTTCTACACTTCAATGGGAATTCGAAGCCGTGGTTGAAAATCGGGATAGAGAAATACAAGCCCCTTTGGGAGAAGTATGTCGATTATTCCCACCCTCTCTTGCAACAGTGCAATTTTCATTGATCCATCGCCATAGAAATCTGTAGTTTTTTCACGCACCATCTTAGAAGCTTCGAGGTCGAAGCATGGCTGCTGGTTGTAACATGGTATTTATTCCATTCCAACTCAGTCTGTTGTAGTATAGACTGTTTCATTCGTATCAAACTATTTAAAAGATCACTGAGAAAACAATTTTGATCTTCATCATTAGGTCAACCTGTAAACTTTTATCTTTGTTCCCATTTTAGTAGTCTTTGCTGCATATCTTATCTTGGCTTGGCTTGCAAGAAATAGAGGAAGAACGTTCATTAGAGAGAAATATGAAACAAAAGGGAAATAGAAGAATATTAGATGGGACGTAAGATTACTGTGTTTGGTTGAGGAAATATAATATTAATGTGTTTTAAGGACCCTTTGCGCCTTGCGTCTTTTAAAACTAAAATAGGAATGTAAGATTATTGTGTTTGGTTGAGGAAATATAATATTACTAGAATATGTATTTTACCAAATTGTGCATGTGATATGTTTTAAGAAAATTTGAATTCTTAATATTAAAATAAAAAAATTTATATAAAAAAATTATAAAAATATACTATTTCATTATTTCTAATTTATAAAATCTAAATTCATAGAATTTATATATTTTCTTTTATAAAATTTAAAAAATAAATAAATAGAATAAAAGATAAATGTATCATATATTCTTTTAATTTTTTTGAATACATCCTTTTGCAATAAAGTTTCCAAGTATTTCGATGATCAAGTGTACATCCAAGCTTCAAATTGTTGAAACCACGCTATATTTGCTATCGGTTCAATATAATTTATAAAGTCATAAATATTAATTATGGGAGAATGGAAATAAAGTAAATGATTTATTACAAAGTTTTTTTTTAAAAAAAAAGTGATCATTTTGAAATTATCCAATTATTGAAAGGGTAATTTTGTCCAAGATCACAAGAATTGCTAAATACCTAAGATGGATGAAGGAATAGGATTCCTTCATCGTACAGGTGAGTAATTTGAATGATCAAACGATGTCGTTTAGTTTCATCTCTTCTTACATTAGCTATTTCCTTCATCGTACAGGTGAGTAATTTGAGTGATGAAGCATAACAAATTAATTCAACTAATTCAATTCGACCAAATACTCGCTCTTAGTTTCTTCTTTATTTTAAGTTTATTTTTTATTTTATTTGAATAACATACTCATCTACCACTTTAAAATACGTATGAATGAATTTGTTTTTTGAAAATCATGACTAAGTATGTTCTAATTAATTCAATTCTCACTTCTCTCCTCTCCTTAAAGATCCAAGAGTGTGATGTTTCTATAAGTTATAGCAGACAACTATCCCCTTATTTTCAGGGTTTAGAATCCATAAGCACCATAACAATCGTTCACTAAATCATTATCGGACTCAATTTTCATATGTTAATAATTTTGTTAGTTAAACTTGAATTCTATAACGAGATTAACATTTAATTTTATTGTTTAATAAATATATTTGTTTTGACTCAAATTTAATTAATCTAATTCAACTGAAAAATCGAATAAAATTTAATTGATAAACTAATAAGCATAAATTCGATTAATTTAATTTATTATTTGAGTAGATCATATATTCGTACTTATATTTAAAATTTGGACAAGTTGAATTTGTGTGAAAACATAATCTCAAATCTTGTTGAAGTGTATTTATATTTATGAATGATTTGCACATATATTTAATTTTTATGTGATTATATCAAATTGTCTAATAATGATACGAGTTAATTCAGTACGCCAGTGCTTGCAAATATTAATCACCAGCTGTAATTATAATTTAAAATTTTATTATAATAATATCTGAATAATTAAAATAGCTTGAAATATTTTAATTAACTTTAATAATTTAGACAACAATTAATCTGCTTCACTTGAATTAAAGATTAAATACATAAAATCGCATTAAAAACTAGCAGGTTAGAAAGTACACAGCAAAGATATAATTGGTATAATTTAATATTTTGCTATAAGTTTATACATTGATGTATAAATACATTGTATACAGTGATATACAAATTACAGAAGATTAATATCTCAAATAAAAATTATTAGAAAAAATCATTTTAAATGTGTGCAAAATTACTCTATGGTTAGTTAAGCCACCTATGAGGTAAGAGACGAAGAAAAACAAAACAAAATCAGAATTAATTACCATCTTCCAATACACCTCTTCTCCTCTCATAGTGCTGTCATCATGGTTTGTCTTGCAACCTCACGCTTCATCTCTGCAGCTTTGCCACTGCCTCGGAAGTACATGAATACTTGCTGCAAATTCAAATCAGAGATCAAAGACGGCTTAGATGAAACTGAATTCGAATAAATTTGTTTAAGATTATGATCTGAATTTCATTTGACTCGGATTGAAAAGTGTATGATAGGATCGTCCGGTAAACATTTTTTAAAAGAATAATTAAGAGTCTATAGTGATTCGTTTCAGGACCATATATCTACATGGGATAGGATCCATTTATACAATGTAAAAATTTTAGTTTTACACAAATTTAGGACCGTTGGATAAGTGGAAACAGATGGTTAAGATTAACTCCTTATTTTTTCTAGTGAATTTCTTCTCATTTTTTATTGTTAATCTCAGTCATCTATTTTTAATCATCTAACGCTCCTAAATTTATATAAAACTAAAAGAGTTTACATTGTATAATAAGATATTATCCATATATATATATATATATATACTTCAATTTGGTTTAGGACTTTCATGATTTTCATAATTCTTTTATAACCTATTTTAGATCATGGTGAATTTTATATTTTTGTCCTCTTTTAGTTGAAGGCTTTTTATGTAAAATATGTGTTCATTTATTTCTCTTTCTAATTTACGTTCGTTATTTGTCATTATCTTGATTTTGAACTCAAGTATGAATTTATGAATTAAAAGTAAACAGAAAGGTACTAGGAAAAGAGGGATCAGTGGACCTGAATAACCCAGATGCTCACAAGTGATTCACAGCAAAATAATGCAGAACCGACGAAGTATATTATCTGCAACGTTGAAATCAAGTCTGTATAATGTCAAAGCATTCTCAAAGACTCAAAAGATATATATAGACCGGGTAAAATTAATGAGTTTTACTGATTTATATCATTGGATGAGTGTAATGAGTAGCTGAGATACACAGTTGAAAATGAGGAGATTTTTATTGGTAAAAAGAAAAGGTAACTACTGTGAATGCACAAAATTTTAATCTCATCCATTCATTTATATTCATCTAATGATTGTAAATCAATGTAAAACTCATTGGCTTTGTACAATATAAGTGAACTATACATATATATATATATATATATATATATATATGTATGTATAAAGTAAAAATCATGATTCTAAAGTATCCATAATGGCATATTGAAACTTGACTATGGCAATGGCATTCTAATGGAATGAACTTACCCCCAACGCACGATCTTGGGGGGAGATAGACAATGCAGCCAAAATACCTCTGCACAAAGAAATACACCATTAAGACCTAAGCTATAGAGTATCCTAGAAGAATGAATAACAAGATTAAAGATGTTCCTAACATGATTGATAAACACACTTGGAAGGAAAAAAAGAGAGCAAAACTTACGTCATGGACCCGCCTCGGAAAACCAATTCAGGGGCAATTGCAGCAAGGACGCAAAATGCTATATGGACCTGCAAGGAGGAGGAGGAGGAGGAGAGTCTGTAATGAGGAGTTTTCCAACATATGTTGGTTGGATATTCAACAAGTAAACTGAGAAAGCAATGAGCTTACCGAGTAAACCAAGAGAAACGATCCAAACCTCAGCGCACTGTCAGTCCTGTAAAAGGAACGCGGACATTACTTCTAAGTGCAAGATAACAAGTCGTATTTATAAATGATTCTCGTATGTGTTATTGTTGAACTTGCAGTTACAACCATTCTTATGGAGTATCTTATTATCTTATGTCACGAAAGCATCAAATATGTTTTAGGAGTCAAAGGTAGAATAATTCTAACATGGCATAATGTAAAAATTAATCCCTCAACGTTTATATGAGTGGTCACTTTAATTCCTATAATACCTATCCTTTTTTTTAGCATTTTAGCTTCCAACATTTTAATTTTTTGATCAAAATGATCCCTATTGGATAGAAATTGTTTATTGACTAACGGTCAATGTATGTTTCTGACATGATACTTTCACGTGTACTTAATTGCTAATGTGTCATATGTCATATCATCACATTGGGTGATGTGGCACATATCATGTCATCACCTTGGATGACATGACATGCGACAAGTTAACAATTTAGTATATGTGAAAATATCGCATCAGTAACATGTATTAATTGTTAATCAACTAACTACTTTCATTCAGCAGGGATCATTTTGACAAAAAATTGAAACATTGAAGGTTAGAATGTTCTAAAAAGAATAGGAGCCAACATGAACTCTCAAGCAAACATTGGACACTAATTTTGGCATTATCTCTTCTAATTTTAGTGATAATTGGATACATACAACTGTAGGAAGCAAATAACCAAACGAGGAACAATCAAAAGTAGTACCTCGCAGCCTGATAAAGAGGGCGATACCACAAGTAAAAGCCTCCAGGGATGCCAGTTAAGGTATATATGACGGCAAGAAGCCAAATTATTGGACCTGGAACAAATTATAATAAAATTCATACGATGATAAAAGATGCCAAAATAGCAACTATGTATTAATGATTAAGGGCTATGCTTAGTAATTTTCAAAACCCACTGTATCCCTTGGTCCATGCTGTAGTAACAGCCACCATATTGTAGAGAAGACAGATAACCAAACCTGCCATGTCCGTATAAATTTATAGACAAAAGTCAGCGTAGACCATTATAACAAATTGAAAATTAAAACATTTTTTCAAGAAATGAACATTTCAACCAATTCGATCCACATAAAATTTTGAGCAATACTGAGGAATTCTCCTTTTTGGATAAATGTCCATAAAATCATTAAATAAACATGAACTTTTATGAAATGGCTTCACAAGATTCAGTTAATTGTCTGATAATGGGACATCATCGACAAATAAGAACCCGTGATATTAAAATATTTTCACTCTCAACCATTTGACATTGATCACTCGTACTACCTCTGGCATGGCCGGTGCTCGAACTCGGGACCTCAAGGAATATCAATAATTTCTTTATCATTGAGGTCACATGGGTTCGTGCAAAAACCTTTATTTTTTAAAGAAAAGAAAACCCTGAACTCACCTATCAATGTTGCAAAAGCAACATACATGGTTGTTTGTAGGTGGATTGGTATTTCATTTGCGATGTCGTTATGGATAATAGGAAAAAATGCTGGCCAATTTTTCACCTCTATCACTATTCCAGCTGCCAAGACAAAGGCAAAGCATATATGTGAATAAAACAGGTGATGCACAAAATAATTAAGCATAAAAATAAAAAGATCCTACCTTTTTTTATTGCTTCCTCCTTCCTCGTTAATTCCTGCATGACACAAAGATAAAACTCATTTAGTATGAGAACAATTTATTCTGGAAACAACAAGAATTGCAAAACCACCCTGCAAACAACACTACTTACATATGAAATCCAAGTTTACATTAGGATCAAATCTTTGCATAATTTAGTGTTTTTGAAATGAAAAGAGCAGCAATTGAGAAGTCAAGAACATAAGATATTATACAGTCATTTAGACAGAAATAAATAAATTAAACTAAAATATGATTCAGAAATTGAGATTAAAAAACTATGTTTTTTTGTTCCAAATGAGCATTATTTATAAGTAATTCACAAATGCATATAACCACAGCTGCATTATGAAAGGAGTAACATATTAATGTTGATACCAAAAGCCACAAGTAATTATTCGGAAGAACCAGATTTATATTTCATCAGCTAACCTAGCTCGATTTCAAGCAGACATCAGAAATTACCTCTTCTCGCCTTTTCAGTTCAGCCTCTTTTGCTTTAAGTTTTTTCTCCTTTGCTGTGATATCCTACAGTTTATTAGACAGAAAATATCAAAAGAAGGCTTTAGAAACATGATAGTTTCCCATTAAATATCTGAAAAGTTTTAGGATACCTTGGTAGAATGAGTATCAAGAGGAATATCTATTGTTGCACCACTCTCATACGGTTCAGGAGGAAGGGGTGAAATCCCTGACTAATATTTGTATATTTACAATTAAAGAAACACAAGCAATATCATAAGCCCTTGCATAGGATGAATAAGCATGGATACGCAAGCAAAACACGAAAACATGAAACAAAGTGCAAGACAAGAAAGTAAATCATTCACATCAGAAACAGTTATATTGTTGGCAAGCATTCCATGCATAAAAGTTTCACAAAGCAATCAAGGAATAAGCTAATGGGAAAATGAGTCCCAATACGAATTGGGGATAAGAAAAACAATGCACAAAACTGCACCTACAATCAGGGTATACATGACTTTCAAGCCATGTCTCCTGTCTCAGGGAGAAAGCAAGCTATATCCATCCGTAATTGCTCTCCTAGAGGTTAGTATGCATTTTTGCTCTGGGTAATTTTTCCTTTCATGTAGTACCTTTCTTTGACCTATCTGATTTCCATAATCAGTGAGCTACCGAAAAGGGGTGACGAAAGGAATTTATTGAAATCTAACAAGATAAAAAGCATTTGCTTGGAAGTGCTATGAATTCATCCTTGAAAAGGATTTTGGTACACCATTACAAATACTAACAATAGCAACCACCATAAAGACCATTTAAAAGTCAAGGCATTTCCATGATCATGTTCGTTAGCATAAAATGTTGCTGGAACTTTCGGAGTCTAATGACAATCAATCTCATCAGTTTGAAACCACTCTAACTGCTTAAATTCTAGTTCCCCTACCGATCATTAGAATCAAAGTCGAAGCATGATCATCATGAGAAAAATCAATGATTGACATTAACTAGTCAGTGCAACAAACACATACATAAAAGTTCAGCATGTTAATCACTCTCAATGTCCCACCATTGTTTGATGTTCTCGACGATTGAAAACCCAGGAACAAACATTATACAGATACAGGAAACCAGACAACTATAGGAAAATAAAATAACTCACTGTAGAAAAAAAAGAACCTCCACCTCCACGGCCGCCTGATCCTTTCTTAACTGATGGATCCTGCAATAAATAAAATGGAAACATACAAGTCGTTTATAAGCAAAGTTGATAATAAAGGGAAGAAATCTTCATCTTGTATTTATTAGATCACTAGTTGTAATTTTTAATGATATACAGTGACAAAATTCCATCTAGTTGAACTTCACGTTAAACTAGCAAAACAATACTCACCAAATAAATGTCATATACCATGAATATCATCTTTATGTAATAGAAACAAAATTAACTTATCTAGTACTTCTGACAGAAATTCACCATGCCAATGCCACACCATATCAATTTGTCTACGTTTGAAAAGTAAATCTTTCAAAAATGACATTATTAGTTTCTTCCAAATCGTTCATTTTTTGCTCAGTGAAAACAAGGAATCCGATCTCGAAATTGATTAATTCTAACATAAATGAAACATATCAAGCAACTTAGTCAATGAGTCATCTAAATCAAAAAAACATGACGATCAGATCACGCGAGAAAAAGGAAAAGGATTCTGATAGGAGGACGAAAGGAACTTTACCGCGAAAGGATTGACCTCTTCATCGGCGAAAGGGTTGGTATCGTGGTGACTCATTGAACCACAAAAACGGATTCTCCAAAACACTAGAAGAATGCGAAAAGGGTTATGAAGTTGAGAAAAACAAAATAGTGTTAACAAAAAGAGGAAAGAAAAGATGGAATTGAAGAAAATACAGAGAGAAGAAAAAGGAAGTGAACGATCATAGCAACGGGTGGATGTAGTTAATTTCTGGTACGAACGGTGCTTGTTTTGTTTGGTTGCTGAGAAAATGGAGATGAGAGGCAAATACCAGAGCGAAAGAGTTTCGCGGGCTGCGCCTGAAAAAAATATAAATTCTCAATTTTAAACACCACGCTATTTCAAGTTTAGATTAAAATCTCGTGTAACATTATATTTTAAAAATATTTTAAAATTTAAATTTAAATTTTTATTATAATTTATAAATTTTTATTTTATTAAAATATAATTATATTTCATATAAATTATTTTTAGGTTTATACATTTATATATCGTTATACTAATTTTTAAACAAAATTTATTTTAAATTTTATAGAATACTTACAATTTTTTTTAAAAATCTATAATGAATACAAAATAGTATCTGCTCAAAGACTTAACTATTTTACAATGAACACTCATATCCATGCATATGCAATGCTCGAACTCAAGATCTCAATGAATAACAACAAATCTCTTAATCATTGAGGTCGTTTAATTCATATTATTTAAAATTATTATATTTTTTTGTTTTTTGTTTTTTATATTTTTCATTATTTAAGTTAATATATTTTGTTTATTATAATATTAAAAAATTTAAATATCATTCAAATATATATATTTAATTTATTATATATGTTTAAAATGATATTTATTTTTCTAAAAAAATGTATTTTGATAACAATATTAAATATTTAAATTTTAGGTTTATCAGGAGTAAAAGTACATAAATTATACTTATTTTTATTTATTCAAAAAAAATTGTCAAAATAAATATCTAACATTTCATTATGTTATCATTTAAAATTCAAACCATTAATATTTATTAAAAATATATTACAATGATTGTGTGTCATAAAATATTTTTTTAATATAAAAATAATTAAAAATTTTAATTTTCAAAATTTCTAATTTTTAAAAATCTTAAATGATTAAATTCTTAAATCTCTTTTATCAGTCAAAGATAGACAACATGATTCATCGATTTGTTTCAGATGAGGATGCAAATTAATTAACAATTACGAACTATTAAACGAGAACTAAATGAACGATACTTGGGTAAATGATGAAATTATATTTGAGAATTTCATGCAATGATACGAAAACAAATAATAGAGGGACGATATTTGACAATGAAAAGAATGAACAATAGTGGTTGATTCAACGATAGCATATGTAGTTTAAACATTCAGAGATAACAAAGATTTTAGGGTTTTTTTTTACAATTAAGGATTTTAATTTTTTTAATATAGGTTGACGATTTGATTTGAAATGATAACGAAATAAAATAATAAATATTTAATTCGGTTACAATAAAAAAAATATATAATTTAAATAAATTATTTTCAAATTATTTTTTTAAATTATCTTTAAAAATACTGTAATTTTTCAGAGTATTTAAAAAACAATAATAAAATACTCATAATTCATATTAAGGTGAGTATTCAATCAAGTTGATTTGAGTCGAGTTAAAATTTTTTGATTTATTCTTGATGAATCTTATCTTATAACTCAAATTTTATTTGAATTTTTTTTAAGTTAAATCGAGTTTATAAAATTTGAGTCAAGTTGTTTGAGTTTATGTTTAAATTTAATTGTAAATATTTATAATGTTATCGCACTATTTCATTTCAATTTAAACAATTTTTCTATAATAATATATGATATACATATGTATATTTATTCATATTTTTCATATGTGATATGCACATACCATGCAAAGTTGAGGGACTCAACTCAAATTTATTAAAAATTTCTAGTTATTCGAATTCTATTTTATAACTCAACTTGAATTTGAAATTTTTTCAAGTCGAGTCAAGTTTAAAAAATTAAGAGTCAAGTTTTTTCAACATTAAGTCAAGTTTTGATTGTTCGAATCAAGTGGAATTTTACTCACCCCTAATTCATGCATCACACAATATCAATATTTATTGGTTAAATTACATGTTTAGTATCCTAACTATCACTTATAATCTGTTTTTGATAGTCAATTTTTTTATTTCAAAATCATACCTAACGTTACGTTTTGGTTTAATTTTGGTCACCCTCCGTTAAAAAATTAACGGTGATGATAACATGTCACCATAAGATAATGCCACATCATCATTAAATTTTTTTTAAAAAAATATCACGTCGGTGGTTCTATTAATTTTTTAACGATGGGTGATCAAAACGAAAACAACGTAAAGTTATGATTTGGAGGGGGAAACTTAATAGTTTGGTGACTAAAATGAAACAAAAGTAATATTTGAAGTACTAAACTTGTAGTTTATTTTATTTTAATTTTTTCCTACAGAGGAAGGAAACCGCAAAATTACAAAAATAAAAAACAATTTACTAAAACACACGCGCGCGCAAGCAAAGTTCAGATCCCCGGTTTTCTTTTTGTTGAAGTGAAATCCGAAAATCCATCCGCTCAATGGCGCAACTGGCAGAACTAGATGAACCGAAATCGAAGTTGTATAAGCAGCAGAAAAGAAATCATGGATCAACCAAGTTTTTCGTAACGGTGGACTACATTTTCCTCTTCATCTTCTTCGCTTTCCTCACTTTCATTCTCCTCAAAATACTTCATCTCCTCTGATTGTTTCTTCCACTTTCTGCCTATCAGGTCACTCTTTTCTTTCTTTTATTGAATACCCACTTATCCATTTCAATTTAAGAAACGAATTGTAGTTTTCTTTTTGTGATCTTTTCCTGCACATTTAATCTTTCAGAAATTGATTTGTTCCAGCGACTGCGTTCTTAGGTATTCTGAATCAGTTGGTACGATTATGTAATCTTCCTTGTTAATGACACTTTGGAAAGGAATTCATCGGAACATTGTTTTTGTTAGTTGCACACTCTTTTTAAATTTAAACAATTATACACCAGTTTTGAACGAGTTTTATTTCTCGCCTTAGGGGAATGCCGATTGTAATTTTAACTTCTACAACCAGTGATCTTGGGGATAAGTTAGATCCAATTGTTCATTCAATTCTGGTTAATTGAATTGCATTGATGTTGTTGTTGAATCTATGTGATTATCTGATCAAATAGCGATAAACTACTCATAATCCCTTAAACCCTTACATCTAGGCATTTGCATTCTAAAAAATGTTAATCGGTCTAAGATCCAGTTGGTCTTATACACATTTCTTTTACTCATTCAGAACTAGTACAATTTGTTTTCTTATAATATTCTAATTATTATCCATAGTGAGGCAAATAGGTAGCTCGAGCAATGGACAAGTTTATATCTATAGAAAACCCTACTTTCAATCTTTTATTTGCCTTTGTAAGTACCACCAAGTTCATCAGGAAATAGAGCATGTTAATAGGAACCTGACCCATTATGTATATTATTGTGTTTTTCTCCAAGATGTTCCCTTTTGAGCTTTTTTCTTTTTGAGCTACATGGATATATTGATTGTCTGTTAAAAGGCTTGAAGAGGGTCTTGTTGTTTCTTTTGATTTGGCTTTGTTTCATTTTCCCTTGCTAGCAGCATTGGTCCCTCCTTCTCAAATTATTGGCATGGAAACGAATGAATGTTATGTAATGCCACCATTGGTACTATATCGTTGCAGTTAATGAACCATGAGTAGCAGAGCACATTATGTATATTCTTGTGTTTTTCTCCAAGATATTCCCTTTTAAGGCTTTGTCTTTTTGAGCTACATGGATATATTGATTGTCTGTTAAAAGATTTGAAGAGGATCTAATTGTTTCTTTTGATTTGACTTTGTTTCATTTTCCCTTGCTAGCATTGGTCCCCCCCCCCCCTCTCTTCTCAAATTATTGACACGGGAATGAGTGAATGTTATGTAATGCCACTATTGATACTATATCATTGCAGTTAATGAACTATGAGTAGCAGAGCACACTTTTAGGGAATGTTGAATTAGTTCTCTTAACACAGACACACATCGGAGTACACCAACGGTGGCCAATGATAGTGAGTGGGGCCAATCATGTATGTAAACCTGCTGTAGTTGACAAATAGAGCTTTGAATTAAGCGGTGGCATAAATTTAGTGGGAGAGGGTTGAAAACAGGGTTCCTTTGTAGAAATCTTGAAATGCGAGTTAATCATTTTAGAGACTTTTCTTCATTGTTCTCCATTTACTATTGGCGGATGAGATAAGTCATAAGTAAAGGTAGGGCTGCAAGGCGTTTGAGTAAATTTAGTTGACTTCATGCACCTTTGTTCGATTGCATTGCTTTTATACTTCACAATTGCGTGCTATCAATTATGATGCCCCTTATTTATATGAAAAAAGGTAAATTATCCTGCTAGTCATTGAACTTTAGTCTTTGTATTGATTTTATCATTGAATTTAATGCTTCAATTTTGTCACTAAACTTTTAATATTATTTTTTGTTATTGGATCGATAAATCATTAACAATTGAATGATGTAATAGTTTGGTGCTTATGTGGAAGTCAGAAGGATAATTTTTATTTTTTCCATCAAAATTAGGATTTTTTTTCATCCATTTTCAGTCGCCATAAAATTTGTCATTCTCCGATTTCTTTTACGACCACCCTAAATACCAATGAACTTGTTTCATCGTCTTCTACCTTTATCAGTTTATATTTTTCTAAAATATCTTTAAAACTCACAAAATTAAATACAAAAAATCTATCATTTTTGGAGATTTGGGAGTTTTATCGGATTTGAGGAGTTTAGGATGTTTGTTTGAAACCGAACAGTGAGAAACATTATTTTAAGAAGATGAACAACATACCTTAAAATTAGTGCTCGGATAATAAGATGAGGAGATTGTTAATTAGAACATTGAATATTTAGATGAAATATTATTAGTTTTGAGTAGATTTCATGCAAAACCAATTGGAAGAGAAATAATAGTGAAATATGAGCGTTTTGATATTGATTTTGTCATAAGTGGTGATTAGCGATAAATGATGATTGTCTTGCAACAAGGACACGAAGAGTTGTCCATTTTCTTGTATAAAAGCAAGAATGAAATGGTCACTTCATTGCATCACCGTTAAAGATTTGACGATCCAGTGATAAAAAAAACAATGTCAAAAAATTAGTATTGAAATTGAATGTTTTAAAGTTCAATAACAAAATCAATACATAAATTAAAATTTAGTGACTAACAAGATAGTCTACCCTAAATGATGAAGATTATCAGATAGAAAATTAAAAATTAAATTTGGTTTGTTAGCGAATTGAATATCTATAACTTATGTAATTTGTGGATTTAAATCTGATTTATTTGTAAGTTGATCTAACAAGATTATGTGTTAGATCATTTAAATTTCAAATATTGATGATATAAATGGATAAACTATATTGAGAGAGCTGATATTACACTAGAAGAAGTTCATGAATCAAATTGAGAAAATTTACTAGCACAACATGAACAAATTACCACCGATTCACAAAAAACAAAAATCTTTCCCCTATGATCTAATGCAGGCTGTAAAGCCAAACTGTTACACTAAAACCAGTCCAGTTTCATTGCAGACACTACAAAACCTATTGGTTTGGCCTTTCCTCGGAAAATCTCGGAAGTTGTACGAGTGAGTTCACTCGAGTAACACCTTCCAAACCTGACCAGTTTTGATCTTCACCGGAAGCTGTATCCACATCCCCTTCGAACTCCACGGGACATAGTCTTCCGCTTTCTTCCGATGATCTAACCGTAAAATTCCTCTGCAAACACGGCTCCGATCTGTTTCTGCCGTCATCGGACTCACCTGCATTACCGGAATGATAACTCTGAAGGGTTGCAGAAGAAAAGCCCTGTTCCTCGTAATCCGATTCCATGTCCATTTTCCCATCCAGAAATACGCAAACAACTGCACAATCATCCATCTTTGAAGTAGGGTACTTGAGTTTCCATTCACGTGCAGCTGAGTCCACCAAAATCCTGGCAGCGGATGATCGAGACAGAGCCGATGATACAATCTTGACTACCTCTTCATTGCTCAATACATCCCATACCTGTCATAACAGTTTACATGCTAAGGACAAATTTCCTATTATAGTAGTTTTTTTTCTTCCCATATCATGTCAAACGAGCATTTACATGCTAAGGTGAAAAATATTTACCCCATCCGAGGCTAGGACGATAAATTGATCTCTTTCTGTGAGTATGCGATGGGAAAATTCGGGCACGGAGATGACACCATATTCCTTCAAACAAAAATCTCCGAAAGCTCGAGCCATTGCTAGCCCTGGTGCATCATCAAATGGCAACCATACTCGACATACTTCGGGTTCATCTTGCAATGCAAACACCCTTCCGTTGCACTTCTTAATCCTTTCAGCTTCCCCTGTTGCATAAATTCAATGTCATTTACATCCCATTCAAGCATTCCCACGAGAGAAAAAATTGGTTTCGGATGTTATACTTGGTAAATCAGGCTTGAGATCGACTGTCAATTGGATTGCAACCATCAAATCGTTCCTGTCTTTCGATCCCATTACTGCTCGAGAATCCCCGATGTATCCCATGAAAAGATCGGACCCCTGAAGTAGTAAAAATTGACCCAAAATGAATTATAGATGAAAGCAATGAAAAGAAGCAGGCAGGGGTTGTGTTCATTAACCTGTTTCACTATACTGACTGCTGTGCTACCACTGCAGAAGCAGTCCAAATTAGAATGGGACCTTAGCTCTTTATCCATGGCCTTGTATGACTTCATGAATGCTTCCCTCCATAACGATGTTAATCTCTCCTCGGCTGAGACTTCCTTCTCCGAATCCCCACCGTCCGATTTCTTCTCCGAACTCCCTTTGAAACATGTTTGCCCTGACCCGTTTTGCCTCGACTGACAAGAATGCCAGGAGGACAGCAACTTAAGTGGAAGTGCGTCTCTCACTTTGCGAGCAACGAGATGACCGTGTGGACCGTGGCCATCAAATACACCACAAAAGGTCACATCTTCCGGCATGAAATCCTATAAGAAATTTCGAGTTCGTCAATGTCATATAGTAGTTAAATTTCAAAAACATAAACGAATATCGGAATCGAAGCAACAACATCAGAAACTTACTTCCCATACAATCATGGCATCTTGGTTTATTCCCTTGCGACCCTGCTGAGTGAATATGCAAGAACTTCTACTCTCTCCATTTGTGAATATCCTGTTGGGGACTGAAGGTAAATGCTGCAGTCCAATAACATGATCCGAAAAAGTTCTCTTAGCTCTCTTCGACCAGCAACAGCCGATATCGAAAAACGTCGGAGAAACCGCTTCCCCACGGCTCCTGTTGCTACAATTACTCCGGCTACTAGTGGAGACACAACCCCCCATTTCTTCAACTCCGAAAGACTATGAATAGATGAAATTAAAATGATGAGCTTCCCACCTCGAAAGCCAGAACAGATCTCACGTGAAAACTGTATGTAGTTTCTGGAAATGTCAGCCAAACCAAATACTAAAACACTAAAGATTCCCCACACACTGGCAACTTCACACCTCCAACACTTGGTCATATGAAATCCATTGAGAGTTGACAAACCAGCTGAAAAAATAACAGTATATTAGTTAATTGATTTGTTTATTACATAGTTCCAGATTGGGGTTTCATGTAAGAAAATGTAGAAAAATTGAACAATATCTTTCCGTGTGACATTAGAATAAGATATACTTAAAAATCTGTTACAAATCAGATGGTGAGATCAGCAGAACAAGCAGCAGATAAACCCAAGGATGAACCAGAAAACAAGAACCAATGTCTGGTTGTTGAAACAAGATCTTACTTTATAAACATCAAGCAAAATTCTCAGTCACATAATCCATTGAAAAACAAAGCTCAAAAGAGAGATTAAAACCAGGACAAAGGGAAAACTACTCATCAGATCCAAAACAATAAGA